AAAAAACGCATTTGGGCTAGTGGTGGGTGACTTTAGTAAAGAAAAGCATCTTCCCAATTCATTTTTCTTTAGCTATTGTCTGGCCAAGATGACTTTAGTAAAGAACATCTATTTGCCCAATTCATTTTTCTTTAGTGAATGTCTGGACCAGTCTTGGAGCTAAATGTATATACCATCTACATATACTATATACATATGTATATCGTCTATACATACACACCACACAAGTAGATGCGTTTTGCAGCATGACCGAAATGCATGTGGGTTGCCACCAACCAAAAACAGTGAACACACGCACAAAAAACGCCCAAAAAACGCCTTTCCAACGCACACAAAAAACGCACACAACGCAAAAACACGCACCATTCGAAAACGCGTGTTTTCTTACCACTTAGGTTGGAGGCCATCGCCAATAGAAACAAAGAAACAAGAAAAGGAAGAAACCATGACTTCGCCTCTACCACCGCTGAAACTACTCGCTAAGACACACTTCTCGGACCAGTCTCCAAGGTCAGGATTGCTTGCTCGTTGCAATGCACTATCGAGCACTGCCAGGCGTGTGATGTGGTCGTTGGTGGCAATGCATCGTTCGATTGCATGCATCGAAGATTGATTGCGAGCATATCGTGCTTGCTCCTGGTCAATTCAGACTCAAGTAGGAAACGACTTGGAGCCGGGACTGCTCGCCATAAAGCTTCAATGCCTTTAGCTGCATGTACACAGGGGGTCTTCGGGTCTTCGTATGGCGCAAAGGAGCAATTCTGGTATCCCCAAAGCGTGTCTCACAAAGTCCGGGTTTGCACAAAGCATGTCTCACTCCACGCTTCAAGGCAGGGGACCGGGGACCATCTGAGCTCCTTTTTGCCTGCTCCAATTGGTCCATTTTCTGTTGAGCACAGCCAGGCCGTGTGCTTTGGCATTCTTGGGAGGGGGACCTCCTCACACTCTCGCAAGAAGATGGACATCAAGGGCAGGAGCGCTTTAAAGGGGTTGGAACCTTGCTGGTGCTGGAGATTCCTCCGTGATGCTGGCTGCATGCATCCATTCCTATTCGAGGGAGAGGCTCCTTGCATCTCAGGAGCTGAAGCTATGCCCCATGCCTACTTTCCACGATTGGTGGCAGCTGGTTTCAGGCGGAAAGGATCCGGAAAGGAGCCAAGGCAAAACCAAATAGGAATTAGGGCATTGGTTCGCCATACATTCTTCAGCATCAAAGACTTATCCATGTTCCAAGAGCTTTGCGGCCAGGCATTGGGTCCCAGAACAAGCTAGACTGCCTAGTTCCCAAAAAAGCTCCAGGAACAAAGAAGTCGTTTTCATGGAAACATGCCAGGCCAGAAGGAATTCAGGAGAATGCTGCATGAGGCCCTAGAGGCCCCAGAAAGCCCTAGTAGAAGGGCCCAAGGAAGAAGTCCAAATTACAGGACGAATTGAACTGCAAGATCAACTTCAACTGTGTATTATACCCTTCAACATTTCTTGTAAGACATTCCGGACCGACGCTTTTGTACGAGTCATGTTACATGTTCTTGTAAGTGGATGGTTTGTTTCAGGCCAACCGAGCCCAGCGCCTCCTGCATATGAATATGTGGTGCATTTCCGAGTCTCGTGTCCGTGTTTTGCAGAGAGTTGTCCATGGTTTGTTTGCAAACACGTGAAGCGCGTCGTAGTTCAGATGGACTCGGTAGGGAGGCAGTTAGCCCAATGAAAAAGAGTGCCAGACATCGACGACCGTGAGCTGCTGGCCGTGAGCCTAGGTGGAAGGTGGCATCTTCAAAGCTCCTCCCAAGGCGCTCCTTTTTCAATCAACACATGACGAGACAACGTGCCAATCCAAAGCATGGATTCTTCAGGCCAAGAAGGCTGATGCGAGAGGCCCTGTGATTCTGTCAATGAGGATCGCCCAGAGAACTAGTAATCATATGAAACCATCAGAACAGTTTAGAGATACCCATCCTTATTTCCGCACCAGGGGTACGCAACGAATCCCCATACACCCAAATAGGCCACCTAAGCCAGTGGGTCCAGCAATGCAGTGAAATGCTTGAGACTGCTGTCATGGGATCGTGCAAGTTCTGAAGGGGTCCTTTGCCGCGGCTGTTGATTTGGTTGGCTTGTTCAATACAGTACAGTCCCAAAGATTGTGAATTGATCGTTCGAGGCGGCAACATGACGCAGCGGCCAGTGCCCCCTCCTCTTTGTCCGAAGAAGGCAGGCCATTTTCTGTCTTGGTCCACTTGTACTGATCCACCCACAAGTCTTCCCTTGCTTGGCAGTTTGGCGTAAGCCTGCATCCCTTTGCACCAACAAGAAGCGCTTAATGTGGTGGATTCTTTTTCAGGGGCTTGACTGGCTTGAATGGCGAGTCTTGCAGTAGATTCTTACTGCCGGCATCCAACACATCCTTGATAAGCAGCAGTTTTGGCGCCCTTCTTTTCAATGGCTTCTTTTCAGCAGAATTTGCATTGACCCGGTCGAGCCACCTGCGGGCGCGCAAACCGCAAGGTCCTTGACCTGGATGCGCGAGAGGTTTGAAGCTCGATTGTCCGTTCAAGGACGAAGTCACAATTGTTGATGGAAGTCACAATTGTTGATGCTCATATTAATTATGTCCATTCTCTTCCTGAACGTGGTCACATCCGTGGTTCTCAAGGGTCTGGACGTTCTCAGTCACAGCGGGGGTGTCTGACCTACACATTCCTTTTGGAAATGCGTAGGTTCCAAGCAACTTGAACCGTGTCTTATTAGTCTTACTTGGTCTCCTTGGTTCGTGCAGAAGAAGCACCAAGGTCGGCTACTGCAAAGTCATCGAAAAGATCCTGGTCCCTTCCGACAAGTCTATCATTCTGCGCACAGCCCAGGTCTCAGACCCTTAGGACAACGCAGAGGCTACATCTCCTGGAACAAGGGGCGCAAGGGGAGACACTAGCCGCTAGCCCTTTCAAACTTTGAGCGGAACACCTAAGGGATGGGAAGTGCAGTTCTTAGGTCACATCGTCCTCCGGTGGATTGAAGGGGATTGTGAAGGTATTGGCTTATATGATAGGAGGATTTTACCAAATCTATTGTAAAGTCCTTTCGAATGCTATCTCGCATGACCATCCCCAATAGGTTCATACCACCATAGATTTTGTCCATTACTCATTTGCATCGCCAGCGCCCCAGTGGTGGAGATCTTAGGCTTTCCAGCGGGGTGCACAGTGCTCCGTGCCCGAGTTGGCCAAAGAAGGGCAGGCCGACGAGGGCTACGAGGGGTGGGGAAGAGTTGAACGAACACAAACCTGAAGACACGACCGCCTCCCAAGATCAGGGAACGGCAGATGTGAAAAGGAGGGATCGGTCCCTGTCTTTTTGTGAAACAGTGGGGTCACCGCTGGGCTTGCCAAAGCTGGAGGTGGTGAAGCCTGCAGCAAGCCTAGAGGATGTTCCAGCAAGTTCACTTAGTTCACTGGTTCGATGGACTTTTTTTGCCCACGATTTGCAAATGTTTCCAAGCTACACTGCGAACTTGACACAATTTAAGGCTGGCTCGAGGACGGCTTCTGACACTTTGCTTGCTGAGGTGGTCGAGGATGAAGACGAAGGCGAAGACTCTGGTTTGGAGGAGGCAACCGTGCTTCTGTTGACAGTGGCCAGGCTGTGACTATCAGACCCTCCAACAGCAATGGGGTCACACCCGCTCAAGAGTTTATTGATGCTTTCATGCGTGTTAAGGACCGTGATACAGCGAGAAACTGCACTGATTGTGGAGATGGTCAGTCACTGTCCACTCAAGCGTCTTATAGACAGATCAAGTTCCATCCCTTTAAGATCAAGCCTGCAAGGCCTGTAAGGTCATGGGGTCCTCAGCGGCATCCTCGAAACAGATGGGTCCCAGTGGCGTAGCTGTGGCACGTGGCAGGATGAAGTGCTGGTGGATCCCTTCGTGCCGCTGCCGCGAAAGTCCAACGCTCAGGGCTTTGGAGGTATGTTTGTGAACATGAGAAGGGCTTGCGAACGCCAGGGAGCTCCACTCTGTGCGGGTCATCAAGGACCAGCAGAAAAGGATTTCCAGATGGATCCAGGGTCCCTGGGATTAGTTGAGAATAGTTAGTCTGCCTTTGCCTTGTGGACGAGAACTCGTAAAATGCCTTGTTTGCGAAGGACAATTTGACCTTCGGCATGGTCTCAGATGCAGTTCTCGCCACAGCAGTGGTGCAGTGGGGACTATGTGTCTTCACCCTTCACTCGGTTTTGTCATTCTTCCCAGACATTAGGCATGGCTCGAGACTGTGGAAGCTCTCCGCGAAGCGCGCTGCTTGCCTGCAGTGGTGAAATACAGGCCAAATGAGAGCATGAAGAACACCTTGAGTTCAACCATCAGGCAGAAGGCCCATGGTAGAAGTCCTTCCAATCCTCGCTCGGGCAATGTCCTGATTTGCTGCAGCCGTCATTGATGCTCTTTGGGACCTTATGAAGTCGAGGTTAGCTCTGGATCTGGTTTGCCGCTAAGGACTCTCCAAGGAGGAAGCACTTTCAGAGGAGCCGCAGGCGCTGTGTCTGGCTTTGATGGCACTTGGCAGGCGTCTCGAATGGATTCAAGGTATCTCAATGGCCCTGGCCCCCTCGCGACCAGACATCGTGATGATCAATATTACAGAATGATACAGCATGCAATTGCATTGTCATAGGCCTCTAGGTGGGAGATGCGATGCCAACAGCTGTCCAAACTCCAAAGTGAGCCTCTTTCAGGCTGCCTAACTTGCCGTTGCAATCTCAACGAAAGCATGTATTCAGCCCCGACTGGCTATATACCATTTTGCAAAAAGATATAAGAAGTTCCACTCATCTCCTTTCGGACACAAAAGTCGAGCCCTGGTGGAACAAGTCGAGCCGGCCCTCAGCTCGACTGTGTACAAAAGACCCGGGCGGGCGCTGTGGTTCCCTTCAGCACCGTAAAGACCAATTCCGGTCTGCCTTGGGATGCAGGAAGATGAGGATGCCAAACTAGCAGCAGCTCAGGTGTCTTTGGGACCATACATGCATGTGTTGTGCATGTGTTGTGCAGAGTAGCTATGTCAGTTATATGATCGCATCAACAACGTAGACTCGACACCATGTATGGCAGCGTGACATGGCCCAAATTCAGTGAAATTACAATGACTACAACACACAGAACCTGTGAAAGGATGTTACTTTCATGTATGTGGCATGGCTTCATTCAATATTTGTGCGCTTGTATCATGCAAGCTAAAGACATGACATACATACATCACATATTCCTGGTAAACCTATGCTTTTTGGTGCTCCTACTTCTTGACATGGACTGCTCGATTTTGTTTTTTACTAGTTTGGGCCAGGTGCGTCAAGAGAGTAGACACCTACTGACCTGAAGCCTAGTCACTGCCTCCGATATTCCGTGCTGTACGGCTCTTTCTGCTCCAAATGCGGACATCTACGTTGTGTAGGTTGTTTTTCATGTCTTTTCTTGCAACAGTATTTGCTGACTTTCCTTCCTCTCAAACAATGTAAACCATCCTTGTATTTGCTAGGCAGCTGCCGATGTTGAGAAGGATGGCGAGGTACCTGTGTTTGATGGCGAGTTGCCTGAAGGGGTGAGTTTCAAGGCATAGATTTTGCGGAAAGGACAAGGTTAGTTTTTGATCTCCATGTGATTGGCAGTGGTTCAATGCCACTTGACAGCTGAGAGTGCCCCCATTGTGATACTTGGATCGACAGGACTTGCAACAGGTTCATGCCAAGATACAGACTTAAGCTGACAAACATCTTAGTTGCTTGAGCCCCTTTTGAATCTAGCAGGGCTGGGATCAGTGTGGCTCCAAACACTAGTTGGGTGTAGCCCAATGTATTCGTATCAGACTTCAGACACATTTTTCTCTCCAAGAGTATTTCTATCTTCAAGTCATGTCTCCCACAGTTGCAAAGCCAGTTCTTGCAGAGTTGACGCAAGAAATGACAGGCGTCTCTTGACTCTCTTTGATTCGAGACAGTCTCATGCTAAATTATCAAGGCACCATTGTTACTATCTATTATATAGATCTATCTACAGTAGAGCCTAAAGAGTCTAGGGTACAGTCAATGCTCCATTTTGAGAAGATGGCAGTCTTTGGAAGGTGTCCAATTTCACAGAACTTGAATCTTGTGTCGCAAAGGAGGAAGATGAGCATCCCCAGGAGGCAGGCTTGCCACCGTAGGCCACGTTGGTCTTTTTGTTCAATCACCTTGCGAAGATATCTTCCTTTGAAGCATTGTCAGGAAGAGGAAGAGGAGGGTGGCGAAGCGGTGAACGTCACTGAGAGGCCGAGACATCTCCGAACGTCACGTCTTCGCATTGGACCCTATTTGGCACAAAAATCTTCGACTGTAGTAACAAGTGCCACGCTAGTCGTAACAGGTGCCTTACTAGTAGTAACAAGAAGCTAGTAGTACCAAGAGAACACTTCGACTGTAGTGACTGTAGTGATCTTCGACAGGGACCAAGTTACGCGCTTGTAGAATTGGAGGGGTCGAATTGTACCTCGCAACCTCCAATGTAAGAAAGCATATATAGTCCAATTCTTTGATATGCGATCTCTTTCAGTGACAAGTCATTGCCCTCTCAGTGAATCGCAGGAACTTGGAGGAGTCAAGATTTGGATGCCTCTGGGCTGTCTTCAAGGCGTTTGTTTTTCCCAGAAAGTGAAGAGAAGTGAGTACGCGCTGCTTCTCTTTTGAAGGAGACTTTGATATCAGTATGGCACTGGAGCAAGCAAAAGTGCCAACTTTGGCCAACAAACCTCCGACATCCTCTGAACATAGTCAGCTAGAGCAGCTAGGGCTAGTCAGACAGATTACATTTGCCAGATCTTCTGTGTTTACCGGGACCAGCTGCGCTCTCATCACGCAGTACCTACTTTGCAACTATTATGCAAGCTTTGCCAGGATGTTTTCCAAGAGCATTTTGCAGAGATTTTTTTGTGTTTGTTTGTTTGTTTGTTTGTTGGTTGGTTTGTTTGTTTGTTTGTGACTCTGTGACCGTTGCAGGATGGTACCAGATGTACTGTGCGAATGCACCATGAAAGACTTTGGTTGATGACTCAGAGCGATACGCAACAGCAACATTATATAGACCGTATGCGCTAGGAGCAAGGACGCTACTAGGGGCTCCTGTCATCGCTACTGGGAACAAGAAGCTACTAGGAACAGAGGGCATCGCTACTAGGAGCAAGGACGCTACTAGGGGCTACGAGAACGATTCGAAGACAAACTGCTTTGCAGGATGCCTTAGCAGTCATTACCGGTCAATACTTTTCAATGGACAAGCACAAAAAAAGCGAATTCGACATGTTCATTTCTGTAGTAAATCGAAGTCGCCTTGCCATGTGTCAGGTACACCCCTGGGGCTCTGAGCTGAGCTAGACTTTCCAACGCGAAAAGGTCATTGAGTTCTGATGAATGTGACCCACAGGGTCGTAAACGAGGCTTAAACGATGGCTGTCGTAGAGAGCCCCTGAAATCCTCAGACATCGGTCACGGGTGGGCACACCAAGTCCTAGTAGCGATGACCTGAGCTACTAGCAGCGTCCTTGCTCCTAGTAGCGATGCCAGGAGCCCCTAGTAGTGTCCTTGCTCCTAGTGGTCACGTGTGGGCGCACCAAGTGCACCAAGTGACATGAAAGACATTACGAGCATGGCATCTTCACCAATCACCAGACCAGTCGGCACGGGCGCCCGTGCCACCGAGCCGGACGCTGAGGACGTGTCCTGGGACGTGACTTCTTCGCGGCCTGGCGTTCAGGCCGAGTGGGACGGGACAGCTGGAAAGGCATGAAGCCGAAAGCCTCATCCTCCACAACAAGGACTCAAACCGATCATGTCGTGTTGTTCGTGTGGGAAAAACCCGGACGTCCTTGATTCGTCCGTGCTGAACGTGCAGAACCTCTCCTCCTGAGGTGTGTTATACTCCTCCCTTTGGTGTGGTGGTGCAAGCCTTTAGCGACGCATCCATTCGTCAGAGCTGGCCACCCCAAAGCCCGGGAGCTCGGAGGGTGGATACCACATGGCATGAAAGGATCGCAAGGTTGGGTAATTAAAAGTCTTGAACAACATTCGGCTGGGCAATCAGCTTGGCCTTGAACTTGGCAGAGTTAAAAGTCGTAAAGGTTGGGCTTTCCTCTGGAACTGAAGTACCAAAACTCCACCGTAGCTAGCCTGGCCCCATTCCACACAGAAAAGCCTCACAGCCCAACCTCAACCACATGCCACAACGCAAGGTGCTCACAAAGTGGTTATTTAGCCGAGCACCATGCCTTGCGACACATCTCGGGAAGCTGGTGCTAGGACTCTTCCCCAAAGATGGTCGGGAAGCTGATCGCATGCTGCCAGGCTGGGGCCCTGTCGCAACGTTTATCGATCCCAGTATTGAAGTCATGATACGATGACGATCATTGCACGTCTTGAATATCAGACTCTTGGGATGGTAATTGCCAGCTCCATGCTGCCAGGTCAAGAGCAGGCGAGTAGGGTGGGAGTGGAGCTATTTCAACTCAAGACCAAGCTTTCTCTAGCTGTGCTTTCATCACCGTTCATTGAAGAGGATTGGGAGCTGCAAATTAGCCGATGAGCTGCTGCTTTCCTGCAGGATATCGAGCTAGCACGGGTGGCGACTGCCTTTGGTGTTCTGATGATCGAGAGGTGGGAAGCTGTTAGCAAGAATGCTCCTAGTAGTAATGCCCTTTGTTACTAGTAGCGATGCCCTTTGCTCCTAGTAGCGATGCCCTTTCATGCTCAGAAAGCCACAGGCTGTCTGGCCGCAAGGAGGTCTGCACCTGAGAAGAAGAAGTTCGCCCCAATGGCACGAACTCGGAAGGTGGATTGTTCTGAGGTGTTTCATGCTTCTGGAACTCGGGCATGGAGAAATCCTACGGTAGAGGCCAGGTTGTCACTCTGCATGGTGAGGGCTTTTTTGATGCGTCGTGAAAGAAGATCTACTTGAGCTTTGACACGGTTGGAATCCTTTCGAACATGATGATTGCATCATGCAGAATCCATTCTGCTTCATCGTTTTTGAGGAGCTGCAGGAGAGGAGCAGACACTTCACCCAGCTCGCAAGCAAGAAGGGCTGCGACGTGCCTGGGAGCGACACTGACAGACCGAGGACCCCCGTATATAATTGTTCTGCTATCCACGAATTTGCAGCAGCAGCGCCAAAAAAGATGTCATCTGTGGTTGCCTTGATTTTCATTTTAGGGGACCTCCCGTGCTTCCTCGACTCTACCCTCTCCTGTTCCATCACAGGAAAGGGCCACAATGCATGTTTAATGATCGTTTTTCTCTGTTCCAGTAGTTCTGAACCGTGCAGGGCATGTGTGCCCGAGAGCAAAGTGCCCGTTGAGCACTGGCTGCGACAATCACCCAAAGATCTCGAAGAAAAGTAGAACATGAGAAAGGGAATGGAATTTCCAGGATTGTTTTGAAGAAAAATAAGTTTGCCCATAGAAAATGAACAAAGTGGCACTACACCCCCCCAAAAAAGCGCAATAGTAAATGGCATGGAAAGGTTCCGGTTATGAAATCCTTAGCAAACATTGTTTTTTTTGCTTCGGCATGCTGGGTTTGATACCTGGGAAGTTCCCCAGGACATGATCTCCACAGACCTCAGTTTTTTGAGCTTCCACAGAACAAGAGCATATGAAACCTGAGACCTCCATTCCGTGGGAGCTCTTACAAAGTCAAGACTTCTAGGGTGACCGGTACCACCATTGAGGATGTGGATGCAATCCACAGAGGTGTGAGTCGTTTGAGTCCAGACTTTGCATAGGGTCTGGGAAGAGAAGGCCTACTCAGCAGAGAGTACCCGCACCTCTCAAGAGTACTCCAAACAGTTATCTTGTGTACCTGGCGATTCCTGTCATTTTTGACTAGAACCACTGAGAAAAAGTTCATACTGGTTGATTAGCAGAGCTTTAAATCTTGAGAATAAGGATAATACGCGAATCAAGGCCTTTATGTGTGAGCTCGCTATGGTTGGGCTGTCTGCCGGTGGGGGTCGGTTGGCCCGTTGCGGGCGCTTAGGCAGCAGCCCGTGCTTGTGCTCAGCGGCTTGCTGAGATCTGTGCCGCCTGGGAGGTCAGCTTGGGGCAACGCTAGTTGTGTTGCCGACATGATGTTCCCCCACACGATTTTACGGATAGATTGTTATGTATTCCATTATATCATTAGAAATTCCTTTACAGGTACATGACTCGATATAGCTATATACAGTATATATATATATAATATATATATATATGATCAATTTTGCCATTTTGCTGACGATGATGAAACTCACTTCATTTGTCCTTGTTTTGAAGTGCTAGAACCTCTGCAGGCCAACAACGCGGAAGTTGACGAAATGGACCCCGATGGGCAGATCAAATGTTTTGGCTTGCCTGAAAACTCAGCTGCAGGTATCTCCAACGAGGGACCGTGAAACTTCCACCAATTTCCAAAGTGAAAGCGAGATCGATGAGTTCACTGACTTTTGAATCTCAAAGTGCAGAATAGAAGTGTTGCTGGTGAATCACCGACGGACCGCTGTCAATCAACAGGGGATCTCTTCCAGCCAACATACTGGATCCGAGCAACAACAATGGCTTGCTCGTGAGAATGCAATTGATTCGCAGTGTTCGTCTCTGCCACAAATGTGTGATGATTTTTATCCTTATCCAACGACAAGAACCTGAGCTCAGAAACTCTTCCAAGTGCGTTGAGGCCTGGCCATTGGCGCGTGACAACGTGCCAGGGCCGCCGCTTTGGCCGGGCACGAACTGTCGAGGAGGTGGCTGGGAGAGAGCTAAGCGGTGTCAGGAAAGGGTTTCTGGGCGGTGGTTTAGGTGAAGAGCTGAGCAGTGGCTTTTTGTTGCGGGCGGAGCCGTTTAGCAACCCGCAAGTCTTGCAAGAAGAGTTTCCGAAGGTTTGACGTGCCTTTGACTGGATCTGAGGCAGAAGCCAGCGGCTCTAGGCTGAACAGCAAGCGGCCCTCGCAAAATGGCAGCGACCCGCGAACAGGCAGCAAGGCTGAGAGTGGCAGCAAGCCTGGCAGCAATCCGTCCAGCAAACCTCACAGCAAGGATGTTCCAGCCTTTCGCCTCAATGGAGCAGTCTTGCTGGTTTCAACAGTTGGAAGTTGGAAGAGACGAAACTCATTGGCTTTAGGATTCTGAATGGTTTGAAGACAACCCGAATCCTTCTCAATGAGTTGTGTTCTCTGTCAAGCTTCTTTTGATACAGGTGCAATTTAGCTCCAAGATCACCAATATAGCAAACTGAAGAAGTGAGGCCGAAGCAGAAGAAGAGGAAGAAGAAGATCTGGACAGAACAGCTTTGTCACCTCTGACCTCAACCACCACCTATGAGTTTTTCTACATGATTCCAGCTACCAAACTGATTGCTCTTGAAGCAATCAAAAGTCATTCCTTGAATACAAAGATGCAAGATAAGTGAAGACTGCAATGTATTTTGGGTGTCGTATCTGCCCTTCCTCGAAAACACGGTCAGCCAGAAATATCAAAGTCTTACGGCATTGAACAAGGGGTCGCTTCTATGATCCGGGTTAGGTTATGGAATGCACCACCTCCCTCGTATACCCAACGGTCACCAGGAGAGCGAGCCGGATCCTCCAGAGCCACCTCCTTCGCTTCAGGATATTTTGGAAGTCTCCTGGCCCCTTTTGGAGAGATTGGAGTTTTGTACCTTAGAGATCTTAGAATCAAGGAATGCGATGATTGAAGTTTAGCTGGAAGGATTCTACATTTCGAGTTGCTGTTGATGACATATCTTTTTCCTGTCCTGTGAATCTGCGATGGTCGTCAATTGCTCATTCCGTATCATACCCTGGGAAGACATGTTCAGAGCCTTAAAGGCCTCATTTGTGACGAGGCCGTACTAGTGGATGAAGGTGGGAACATCGAGTATGAGCTTGACCCCGTCTATGCCTCAGAGTTCTCGCGGGTTTTTGCGGCGTGCTTTTTGGTGCGGAGGTTGGCTGGTAGGTCACTCGAACACAGACACAGCCCCTCTTCCGGCCTTTCATCTTGTGAGGTCCCTATGCTGGTGCAGCGTGATCCCCACACAGGAATCACTACCACTACCAATGAGGAGGTGCGCTGGAAGCAGATGTTTTGGTTCCTGAAGGATTATATCCAAGACAGAATGGTTTGGCTAGTTTGGGTTGAAGAGTTCGCCCCCTGGCACGATGGATACATGTTAGGGCGGCTAAACTGTACCGATAGGATTTTGAGAGCGGTCCCTTTGCAGGGAATGATGATCTTGGCATACCCAGATGATCTGCCCGCATCTCAAGATGTGTTATGAAGAGTAACTGGCAATACCGCCAGCGAAACAAAATGAAACCATTAATTCCCTATAGGTGTGTTACTAGGAGCAAGCACGCTACTAGGGGCTCCTGGCATCGTTACTAGGAGCAAGGACACTACTAGGAGCTCCTGGCATCGCTACTAGGAGCAAGGACGCTATTAGGAGC